TACATATATATATATATACACACACACACATACACACATATTTAATCTTTATTTTTATTTTTTTTAATATTTATTTTTTAGTTGTAGTTGGACACATACCTTTATTTCATTTATTAATTTTTATGTGGTGCTGAGGATGGAACCCAGGGCCTCACATATGCTAGGCGAGTGCTCTACCACTGAGCTACAACCCCAGCCCTAGAATATATATTCTTTTAGAATAAATATATTTTAGAATTCTTTTAGAATATATATATTAATTTTTTTTTTTTTTTTTTTTTTTTTTGCTACTGGAGATGGAACCCAGGGTGCTTTACCGCTGAGCTATATCCTCAGTCCTTTTTATTATATTTTGATACATGGTTTCGTTAAAAGTTGCTGAGGCTGGCCTCCAGTTTGTGATACTCCTGCCTCAACCTCCCAAGTCTCTGAGTCAGTGTGAGCTCTTGCCACAAGATCCCCGCCCCTGTCTCTGGCCTGGAAGCTCTCGCTTCCAGCCACCTTTTTTGAAGAGTCTTCCGCAGGTTAAAACCAGCGGTGAGAGGGGCAGATGGCCTTCTGCGAAGGCAGAGAGGAAGATGACTATGAGAGGCTGCAGGGGACCCAGGGATGAAAGTAGGAGTCAGGTGAGAGCACCGGTCGCGTGGAGTCAGAGACTCCCGGCTTCCTTCCCGCTCTAGATAATAGCTGTTGCTTATTGGGCGCTGTTTGCTGGCGTCTTTTCCAGGGTCATCCTTGGACTCTTCCAGCCATCCAACAGGAGGAGTTACTATTGCCATTCTACTTTGAGAAAACTGAGACCTAAAGTCTGCCTGCCAGTGATGGTAGAGCTGGAATTAGAATTCAGATCTGGCTGCTTTCGATGACTCCGATCCCCACCCATCTGTGGGCGAGGCCAGTACCGGGAACAAATGTGAGGCCCGGGACCCACCGAGGGAGGTGAGCAGACCGCGGGGAGGGCGGGCCGACGCCCTAGTTTCTGCAGCGCAGGGGGCTGGACCGCGAGGCTCGGCGCCAGGGGGCCTGCTGAGCGGTCTCTGCCAAGAGGGGGCGCGCGGGACGCCCCAACGGAAGCTCCGGGACGCGATCGCTGTCCAGGTCTGAAAGGGTTGACCACTGGCCAAGGGACCCGCCTGGAGGGAGACCCTGCCCGGAGGGAGACCCTGCTCAGGACAGGAGGAGACCTCTCAAGTGCCCCAGGTAGGGGCGGAGGTGGGCCTCTCAGGGTGGGAGAGTGGGAGGGTGGAGGGCGTGGAGACAGCCCCCTGCCCAAACCCGGATCCCCAGACTCAGCACCACCTGACCCACCCTGGTGCAGGGCAGGGTCCGTAGCCGGGTAGCTAGGTTAGGGTCCATCTTGGGTTCTGTAAAACATCCCTGTGGCTTTTGGGCCCTGGAAGGGTCGAGTTCTGGCATTGAGGGACTATAGGGTTGTCAAGGAAGGAACTTCTGAGACCCCCTAGTCAGTGGGAACCAGGCCTCAACCCCAGGCATACCTGGGAGGCGCTTTAAATCGCCCCTTTTCAGCGTCCAGAGTATTTGGAAATCACTCAATCGAACTGAGGCCAATGGTGGTTGGTGAGGTGAGTGGGCAGCCTTGCAGAATTCTGGTTCCCACTCTGTTACTGACTGTGACTCCTCTATCGGTCATTCCCTCTCTCTGGCTCTCTTTTTCTTTTTCAATTAAAATTCCTAGGATCCTAGAGTATGGCCTATATCCATGCATATCTTAGACTGCATGTCCTTGGGGCACAGTTATCCAGTACTTGTACTAAGGGCAGTTTTCTGCAGGGTCCTGGACTAGGGCCTGGGGAGGAGGACAAGGGATTCATCACTGGACAGCTGCCTGGCTAGGGAGGGAGCACACTGTAGGTAGTGCCTTGGGTAGCTCCAGGCTGGGGAGCAAAGCACTGTGCCATGTGACATGTTGATGTGTCTCTCCCCCAGTAGCTTCCAAGAGCCACTGAGTCCTGTGTGTTTTCATCCCTGAGCCCCACCATTGGCCCAAGCTGGACAAGGAGCAACCAGTAAGTGCATAGTTGGTTTTTGTTAATGGAACAGAGGATGGCTGTTGCCTGGGAGGGCTGCGTGGAGTGGACCAAGTGGCACTCTTCAGGGGAAGTGGAATCTGAAGGGCTCCGGAGAGCAGAGAGGGCACCCTGGGAAGGAACCCAGGCAAGGAGGCTGCGGTGCTCCCCAATGACTGGTGTTCCCCATCAGGGTGGGGACAGGAAGGATGGGTGCTCAGAAATTTTATGAAAGGAACATAGTGTGTGAGGCAGGGTGATAAGATGGAAGCATCGTGGGCTGGGGATGTGGCTCAAGCGGTAGCGTGCTCACCTGGCGTGCGTGCGGCCCGGGTTTGATCCTCAGCACCACATACAAACAAAGATGTTGTGTCCGTTGAAAACTAAAATATAAATATTAAAATTCTCTCTCTCTCTCTAAAAAAAAAGATGGAAGCATCGTGGGGGGAGGAGAAAGCAGTATAACCTCAAGGCTGGAGCTGGGATGAGGGAGGGAATGTTGGAAATAAAGAAAGACAGAGGTCACTTCTAGACAGGTTGAGGTTGGAGGGTGGATAGCTGTCAATGAGATACCCAGTGTACACCGTCCCATGCAGTGGCTGTGACTCCTTCCTGTTGAGTTTTAGAGCTAGAAGGGCTTGGCCCTGAAATTGACATGACTCATCAGTGTGGCCTGGAGAGTGGAAGATCAAAAGGCGAGACTTAGAGAGAGGGGAGAGTACAATTCTTCAGGTGAAAAGAGGAACTGGTGATTGACAGAAAGAAGGAGAAAGTACATTCAAACATTTCCAGGTCACCTTGACAGCACTGAGGAGGAATACCTGTTTATGCATTAGTATTGGTCAGCATGTTTGGGTGTGGGGATGCAGGAGGGACCCACACCTCTACCCTCTATCATCAGGCTTGTTGGGCTACAGTGATCAGCAGCTCTCAAAGACACCCGTCCCCTTGGCTGAAGCAAAAGAGTCTGCATCTGGACTGTGAAGGGGTCTCAGGGCTGGCACTGGGCATGAGCCTGCACACCCGGCACAGGGTACATGGACCCAGGGAGGTTTGAATTTTAGATGTCTGCCCTCCACCCTGCCCTTGCCCCTGAGCACATCTTTAACTGAGCACCTGAGCACAAAGCACTGAGTTTGGCACTTTGCTATGTATTGCTTCATTTGGTCCTCCCACTGGTCTCGTTGGGCCCGTGAGATATATATATATAATGTCTATATACACATTATGCATACATCTATGTAGTATACACACACACACACACACACACACACACACACCACACACATTTTTGCTTTTTCCCCAAATGAGGAAGCCAGGGCATAGGGAGTTTGAGTTTGAGCAAGTTCCCAGGATGACACAGTTAGGGACAGGGGAGGCTGTGGCAACAGTCAAGGGCTCCTGATCAAGACTTGCCCAGTATGGCCTAGCTGCTCTTTTACAAGAAAATATACTGACTGATGATAGCAAAAGAGAAAATATTTTGGGATGAGAGACTCCATGGAAGAGGGCTCCTTGGATGAGGGCCTTGACTTCCAGGATTAGAGGGAACCTGGGACTTCAGGAGGCTCTCTGTGAACACTGAAATTATGAGTAAATCTTTTTTTAGTAAATCTGCTCATTTTTCAGCAGAGGCCTCCTCCTGGCCCAATGGACCCCATCCCCAGTTTCCTGTGGTCAGAAGGCTTGTCATTGAGCAAGGGCACTTGGGGTTCTGGCCTCACGGCCTCCCCCAGGCCCTCATTCTGCAATCTAAAGAAAAACAGCTGACACAAAAGAGGCTGATGGAGGTGTGTTTTGTTGGCAGTGGCATGGGGGTTAACAGAATTGAAAAATTGAAACTGTAGAGGTGAATGACCTTGGGAAGGGCTGGGCTGATCTCCTCATTATGCCTGAGGAGGAAATTGGGGCTCCCACCATGCCCAAGGCCACCCAGTGAATTAGTGCAGACAACATTTCCTGCATGTTTTAGGTCAACCTCAGAGGCCTGGAGGCTGTAAAGTTAAGCAAGACAAAGAAATCCCCATGGACAAGCCTCACCTATGTGCCATGCGCAGTGCCTGCATTTCCACGGTCATCATTTCCTTCACCCTGAGCCACGGGAGGATGTGGAGAAGTCCCACCTCTGCCATCACTTTTCCCTTGCACAGGTGATGCTGACTTTAGAGGACAAGAACATGAAGGGACTCACCTGGGCCATAGTCCTGGTCTTGACCTCCCTGGGCTACCTGCTCATACTGCTGGTCTCCATCTTTCCCTTCTGGGTGCGGCTCATGGACGAGGAGACCCAGGATGTGTTTTTCAGTGGCCTGTTTGAGAACTGCTTCCATATCAAATGCTGGAAGCCTCGACCCTTATCCAGTAAGGAGGGTTGGGGGTAAGGATGAAGAAAGGGGAGATGGGACCAGTTTGATGGCTGGGTGGAGATAGATAGGGCAGGTTGGGGGCAGAGGACCAAATTTAATAAGGCCATGAGGGCATTTTCTCTGAATCTTCACTCTTTTGGGGTGAGAGGAATGTAGGGCACTGTGAAAGGGTGATCATGTCATGTTGACCACTGAAGTAGGGGCATATGTGTTAGGAACCAAGTTTATTTCCAAGCCATGATTCTACTTTCCTAGCCCCTTTAAGGAAAAATCTGAAGGCCCCAAGGATGTCTGTCTTGGAAAAGACGTGACCCAGGGAAACCCAGGGACTACTTTCTTGGGAATAGGAGAGGCCTCCTTAGGGGAAGATGACCTGACTATGTGAGCTCTTTGACCCAACGTTCCTCAATCTTGGTGCTACTGATATTTTGGGATGGGTAATCTTTGAATGGGGGCTCTCCTGTTTCTTGCAGGATGGGAAATAGAACCCCTGCCCTCTTCTACCCATGAGATGCCTGTAGTACCACTCCCCACTTAGTTTGACAACCCAAATTGTCTCCAGGTATTGTCAAATACTTAAGGGACAAGTAAAGGAGGACCATCACTGATTTAACCCAAGGGTAGATTCTGGAATGTCTGGGTGTTCAGAAACACCTTTGCCTTTTGTCCTCCTCCAAGATGTCCATCTCTGTTTGCTCAGAAGGGCATTCAAACTAAATTTCACATGGTGGAAATCATCAGCGGGAGAGCAAATCACCCCGTATCCAGACTCTATTATTTTTGGTCTATTTCACTTCTCCTATTAAGAGGAAAATTAAATAAGGCTTAGGGGATTCCCTGTGAAGTTGAACATTTCGACCTCGTGGAGTTCTGATTTTCCACGGGTAGTTATTTTAGCATAACCAACATAGATGTGAGTTTTCACGATTGCACACACAACCAATTCTTATCAGGAGAGTTTGCTTTTATGTGTTTTATGAAAACCATTGTTTTTCCCAAATGGAAGATACATGATTTCCTCATACATCATCATATATGTTAAGAACTGATGAATGACTTTCGTGTCTGACATTGTCAATCTAACTTTCTCCCCATATGCTTCCATGTTTTTGGGAAAAAAAATGGTGAGGCTGGGGCATTCTTGGGGGGCAAAGTGGCAGGGTCACAGCTTTGGTCCCAGGCTGTGATCTGAGGGTGGTGGAGGCTCCGGGGCCCCCTGTGCCAGGCTCTGAGGGTCTCTTGCCTTTTGGAGGGCAGGGTCTCCAGCTCCAGCCCTGGCTCTTCCTCTCCTGCAGTCTACATCCTCCTGGGCCGGTTCTTCCTGATCTCTGCAGTTATCTTGGCTTTCCTCACCATCTTCCTCACGGTGTCCTCTGCGTCTGAACTCTTCCCAAGGACTTGGAAGCACAGTGTTGTGTCAGCCACTGTCAGCTTCCTCACAGGTGTGCAACAGCCAGGCAGTCCCTGACCTCTGAGGGCCCTTGAAGGGATGCAAAGGGAGTGGGTGGGTGGTTTCTGTGATATGAAGAGACATGTGATTTTTAAGGTTCCTCCTCTATGAATTAATTGACCCCCACACCTGCCCTATTAGAATTTATGATGCCTCTTCCTTGGGGCTTCTTAACACTCTACATTTTCCTCTATGACCCTGTTGCGGGGTCATATGTCTGGTAGGTCACCTGGATAGCCAGGGACTGTCATAGAATCTGGCAAAGAATTGTAATTGAGCTGTGTGCAGTGGCACTTGCCTGTAATCCCAGCATGTCAGGAGGCTGAGGCAGGAGGATCGTGAGTTCAAAGCCAGCCTCAGCAACTTGGTGAGGCACTAAGCTACTCAGTGAGACCTTGTCTCTAAATAGAATACAAAATAAGGCTGGGGATGTGGCTCAATGGTTGAGTGCCCCTGAGTTAAATTCCTGGTACAAAAAAAAAAAAAAAAAAAAAAGAAAGAAAGAAAGAAAAATAATTGTAATTGAAATATATAAGTGAACTATCAATGTTTCTTGAATGAATGAATGGAAGAGACCTTCTTTGCCCTTTTGAACCTTTTGACATTTGAAAAGAGTGACCAGGCCCCACGCTGGGAAGCTCCCAGGACTATGGAGAAGTAGAATACATGCAGGGGGTGGGGAATCTGGTTGAGTTTCATCCAAAGTGTTTTACCTAGAGGGCCCAGCCTGAACTGAACCAAGGGCATATACACCAGGGGTCCCCAGAAAGGGGTTTCTGTTGGCGGGGCCCCTGGGTGGTGAGGCACATGTCTTTGAGATGAGCTGGGAATGATTGATAGTGTGCTGAGCGGGTGGTTGTTGGCTCAGAGTGGGCAAGGGGGTAGATAGGAAGGAGCCACTAAGCAGGAGCCACATGGGCTCTGTCTGATTGAGTGTGAGGAAGGTTGGGTGAAGACAGGTAGCCCAGGAAGAGAGCAATCATGCCTCCCATGATCCTACAGGGATCTGTGCCTTCCTGGCCATGTTGCTGCATGCCCTGGAGATCCGGGATCTGAGGATGAAGCCCAGTCCACCACAGTTCTCCATGCAGTGGCCTTACTACATCCTGGGCTTTGACACCCTTCTGTTCCTGGTGGCTGGTGAGTGTCCTGTGGCTGTTACCCACTCCTTGCCCTCTTGTCTGCAGTTAGGAGCTTCTCTGGAGGAGCTGCACTGTTCCAAACTATAGCCACTAGCTTCAAATAGCTATTTAACTTTAATTAAAATAAAATACAGTTAAAAATTCACTTCCTCAGCCATACTAGCCCCATTTCAGATTTTCAACAACCACACATATCTGGTGGCTACCACATTGGACAGTGTAGTTGATTTCCATCTCTGCAGAAAGTTCTGCTGGACAGCACGACCTCAAACCTATCCCCAAACTTGGCCTTTGGGTTCTTATCCTTCTTGGTACTAGAAAGAGAACTTCCACATGTCTGTGCTGTCCCTTACACCATCCTGATTTCTAAGGCTCTCTATTCCTGTCCATCTTTATCTTGAAATCTATCAATCTTGTTCCTCACTTTAACCTATTATCTTGAAACATTATCATCACCTTCTAGATTCTTAATCCTGTCTGATTTTGTCCCTACTCCTAATCCTTCCTCTGCTATGTTAACCTGACCCACGATCATGTTCTATTTCAAATTTAAAATATACCAAAAATATATAAAGGAATATTATTTATAGCCAGCCATGGTGGTATACACCTATAATCCCAGCAACTTGGGAGCCTGGGCAGGAGGAATACAAGTTCAGGACTGCAGCAAAATAAAAAAAATAAAAAGGGTGGGAGATGTAGTGGAGCATTCCTGTGTTCAATCCCCTGTATAACACACACACACACACACACACACACACACACACATTTATGAGATATCCGTAAGATACAAGTAATTAAAAATAGAGACACCCAGTTCCCACCATAGATAAGAACTAGCCATATTTCAGTGAATCTGTTGTTCATAAGTTAAACCATTATTTTATGTACCAATGAGAAAGAGAAACTGGTGTAATTCTGAGATTCTTTAACTTGTAAAACATTCTCATTTCAGAGATGTTAAAATAAGAAAAAAATGAATTTGGAATTGGCTTCTCAAAATTAATGAAATGCGGTGGAACAGTCAGTATCTTTGAAGGTCTCTCCCCCTAGCTCTTCTTGACATCATCATCTTCTCTCCATTCCAGAACCAGTGATTCTGAGATTTATGCTAATCACATTTCCTACTCACTTGTATCCTTAACGAGCATATTGTTTAGTTTTCCATGTTTTAAAACGTTATATAAATACATTTTACTGTGTTTATTCTTCTGGAACTTATTATGTTTGATCAATATTATACCCCTTAGAATCCTCTATGTTAATTAAGAGTAACTGAGATTCATTAATTTTTATTACCTTAAATATTTAATTGTATAAATATTCTACAATTTGCCCATTTTCTTATCAATGGACATTGAGGGTTTCCAGTTTTGTTTCCTACTGTCACTGACTGACCTTTGAACTTTTTGTACTTATGTCCTATTGCATTTGTGCTGGATGCTCTTGAGGACATATGCCTAGGACTGAAATTCTTGTATTGAGATGACGCATATTTTCAGGTTTTCCAGATGATGCCAAATAGATTTTCCTAGAGATGATAACAATTTGCATTCCTACAGGCAGGACAAGAGAATTCCTGTTGCCCCATCTCCTTGTCAATATTTGAAATTATCAGGTTTTTTAAACCTTTGCCAGTGTAATTGGTGTAAACTATTATGTTATTAATGTGTGTTTCCTTGATTATTAATCACGTTGAACATCTTTGAATAGCTTTATTGACCATTTTTCCTTTTCAAATTGATTTGTCAGAGGTGTTTATATATTTTATTTATTTATTTTTAAATTTTTTTGTAGTTGTAGACAGACAGCATGTCTTTATTTTATTTGTTTATTTTTATGTGGTGCTGAGGATCGAACTCAGTGCCTCACATGTGCTAGGCAAGTGCTCTATCATGAACTACATCCCCAGCCCCAGCCATTTTTATATTTTAAATATTAATCTATTATTATTGTTATTGGTACCAGAGATTGAACCCAGGGGAGCTTAACCACTGAGCCACACCCCAGCCCCTCTTTTAAAAAATGTGTTTTATATATTTTATTTAGAGACAGGGTCTTGCTAACTTGCTTAGGGCCTCACTAAGTTGCTAAGGCTGGCTTTGAACTTTCGATCCTCCTTCCTCAGCCTCCAGAGCTGCTGAGATTACAGGCCTGTGCCACTACACCCAGCTGGTACTTTTGCCATCTTTATTTAAGTCTTCAATCCATCTTGAATTGACTTATGGTGTGAAGTCGGGCTGCTTTCATTTTTCAAATGAACAGTCAGTTGCCATAGTACTATGTGTCGACTACTCTGTCCTTTAGCTCTGACCTGCGGTGCCATTTTTGTTAGTAATCCAGTTCTCGTGTTCCACTCACCTATCTATCTTGGTGGACAAACCACGCTTTCACTGTTGCTCTAACTTTATACTATTCCTGACATTGTATATCTTGATATCTTGTCGGAAAAACCCTTGCACTTGTTTTCCAAATGTATTTGGTGTTTCTTGGCATTGTTTCCTTACATAGAAATTCAATAATCAGCTTGTGACATTTCACAAAAAATATGTTATTTTCTTTGAATTATACTGAATGGTCAATTTAGGGAGCATTGATTTTTTTTAACTCTTTTCAATAGTATTGAATCATCCTACCATAAACATGATATTTTCTTCCTATTTCCTTGGGTGTTCTTTAGTGAGTTTTGAAAAATCTCATAATTTTTCTTTTTGTTTGTATTTTACCCCTTAGATATTTGTGCTTCCAGTATGATGATAATAGAAGTGGCAATAATTAAGGGGATTTTTTTGGGGGGGGTAACAGGGATTGAACTTAGGGGTACTCAACCACTGAGCCACATCCCCAGCCCTATTTTGTATTTTATTTAGAGACAGGGTCTCACTGAGTTTCTCAGTGCCTCGCTGTTGCTGAGGCTGGCTTTGAACTCTGTCCTCCTGCCTCAGGCTCCAGGGCTGCTGGGATTACAGGTGTGTGCCACTGTGCCTGGCTAATATTTGCTCTTATTTTGAATTCTCCTCCCTCCTACTGTCATTGTGTCTATTCTGCTATTCTTTTTTCCAACTTATTTTTTTTCCCCTGGACTCAATTTACTCACAGCATCCAGGCATTGGTCAAAACTAATTTAATATATGCAAAGTCCTGAGAAGGGTGTGTTTTGTCAACTTTTTCACTACTACAATCTTTTTTCCCAACTTCTTAAAATCAGGTCTATGTTCATTGATTATTTCTTCTTTTTCTATTTAGGTAGCTAAGGCTTTAATTTCTCTCTAAAAATTACTTTTGTCTACATCTCCCATTCTGATGTGTAATATTTCAGTTATTGTTCTATTTGAAATATTTTCTAGTTCCCCCTTTTTTTGGAGGGGGGCCAGGGGTACCAAGGATTAAACTCAGGGGCATTCGACCACTGAGCCATTTCTCCAGCCCTATTTTGTATTTTATTTAGAGACAGGGTCTCACTGAGTTGTTTAGTGCTTTGCTGTTGCCGAGGCTAGTTTTGAACTCACAATCCAGAGCTGGGGATATAGCTCAGTTGGTAGAGTGCTTGCCTCCCGTACACAAAGCCCTGGGTTCAATCCCTAGCACTGCAAAAAAAAAAAAATTATATATATATATATTGACCTCGCTATCCTCCTGTCTCAACCTCCCTAGCCACTCTGATTACAGACCTGTGCCACCATGCTTAGCTATATTTTCTAGTTCCCTTTATGATATATTCTTTTTAAAAATATTTTTTTAGTTGTTGATAGATTTTTATTTTATTTATTAATATGTGGTGCTGAGAATAGAACCCAGTGCCTCACACATGCCAGGCAAGTGCGCTACTGCTGAGCCACAGCCTAGCCCATGATATATTCTTTGATTCATGATCATTTTATATTTTCTAAATATAAAAAATTTGCATCTTTGTGTTGGCTATTCTTTTTTTAAAATTAGAGCTTGAGGGCTGGGGATGTGGCTCAAGCACGCTCGCCTGGCATGCGTCCGGCCCGGGTTCGATCCTCAGCACCACATACAAACAAAGATGTTGTGTCCGCCGAAAACTAAAAAGTAAATATTAAAAAAAATAAAAAAAATTAGAGCTTGATAGTTATGCATAGTAGTTGGGTTCATCCTGACAAAATTATACACGTGTGGAATTAGATTTCAGTTCAAGAGCCCCCCCTTTCTGTCACCCTCCCATCCCATCTCTTCCTCCACTCTGCTAGACTTTCTTTTGCTCGTCTATTTATTTATATTTGATTGGTTCTCCTTACTTATACACAAAGGTGAAATTCCCTGGGGTATATTTATATATGCACATGACATGATTTTTAAAGGATTCGTTCTGCATTGCTTTCCCATTCTCATCCCCCACCCCCCGCTCTCCCTCTTGATCTCGAAGCTTCTTCTACACCACTGATCTGCCCTGTATGTTTATGGTATCCTTTCCTTCCCTCCAGTTTACTCTAGCTTCTGTATATGAGAGAAAATATTTGGCCTTTGAGTTTCCAAGTCTCACTTATTTCCCGTGGCGTTATGCTCTCCATTCCCACCCATTTACCAGCAAATGCCACACTTTCATGTGTTGGTTATTCTTAACTCCAGTTTGGTGAAACAACATGAACTGTGTAATCCTGTACCTTTAAATTTTTGAAACTTGTTTTATAGCCTATTTTGAGGTCCCTTTCCACAAATGTTAAATGTAAGCTTTTGCTGGGCATGGTTGTGCATGCCTGTGATTTCAGCAACTTGGGAGGCTGAGGCAGGAGGGTCACAAATTGGAGGCCAGCCTCAGTAACTTAGTGAAGCCCTAACCAACTTAGTGATAGCAAGACCCTGTCTCAAAATGAAAAATAACAAGGGCAGGGGAGGTGGGTCAGAGATAAAGCACCTCTGGTTCAATTTTCCCATAAATCTTGTCATTTTATACCCTCTTTTTCCTTACATATATAAATATGTTATAAACATGTTACATTTTGTAAATGTATTTTTATTAGAAATGTAAAACATACCTATTTTACATTCTGTGTCTCATAAATTTACTAACTGAATTCATTTGCAGGACTGAGTCTGTTTCTACCATGTCTGCAGGCTCTTGTGGTGGTGTCTGGTTTCCAGGTGTCTGTGTCTGTGTGTATGTGAGTTTCTTCCCACTGTGAAGTCATTTCCCTTGGAATTTTACCAGTGGAGTCTTTGAGACCTGAATTTAAAGTGTTTCCTCCCCAAGGATCTATAGTTGCTTCTGCCTGGTGCAGAATGGAAACTCGGGGTCACCTAAGTTGAGTGTGTATCTCCAAAATGCAGCTGAATGTGTGCTAAACTATCTTTTACTTTGGTTTTGGCTTCTAAGAATATCTTACATTGGTGCCAGCTTGGTGGTTAATTTAAAAAAAAATATTTTTAAATTGTAATTGGACACAATGCCTTTATTTATTTATTTTTATGCGATGCTGAGGGTCGAATCGAGGGCCTTGCATGTGCTAAGCGAGCGCTCTACCACCGAGCCACAACCCCAGCACTAAAAATAATTTTTTAAAGTAATAATTTATTCAGAATTTTTTGCTGTTTTAAATGGGAGAGTATCGGGTCTGCTTTAATGCTGAAAATAAAATGTCTGTTATCTTTGTCTTAATAATACATCATTCATTACTTGCTTAAGAGATCTCCATTCCTCCTCTTCCTCCACCCCCTTCTCCCCTCTCTTTTTCCTCCCCCTTCTTCCCTGCTCCACCTTCTTCTCCCCTCCCCGCTCCCCATCCCCCAGCCAGGGCTTCATGCATGCTAGGGAAGCCCTCTTCCACCGAGCTAAACCCCAACCCCTCCATTTGTTCTTATGGACATGGATTGTCCTTTTTCTCTCTTACTTTCCTGAGGGTCTTGAGTTAGGCAACAAGAGCCTGGGTTTTCTGTTGGGTCTTCCTCTCTCTAAAGCTTCTTTGCTCACATTTTATTGGTAGACAATTGCTGTGATGCCGTTCAGTCCTGGCCATGGTCCTGTGATTTTTATCCACCATTTTTTTTTGGCGGTGGGTACCCGGGATTGAACTCAGGGGCACTTGGCCACTGAGCCCCATCCCTAGCCCTATTTTTGTATTTTATTTAGAGACAGAGTCTCACTGAGTTGCTAAGTACCTCGCTTTTTGCTGAGGCTGGCTTGAACTCACGATCTTCCTGCCTCGGCCTCCTGAGCTGCTGGGATTACAGGAGTGTGCCACCATGCCTGGCTGTGTTCCTTGTTGTATGACATGTTCTGTTTCCCCTTCTATCTCTGTAATGCTCTGTTGGAGAGAAGGACTATGGAGGGTAGATCCAGAACCAGAGTGGCTCACAATTAGAGGAGGGAGCCCCTGACTGCCGGGTTTCTGTTCTTGCGACTAAAAGGCTCAGGGGTGGGTCACTCCAGTTAAACTGGGCTAACTGGGCTGCACGAAATAACCACACAAGAGACACAAATACCTTTTTCTTTGGGGTTGCTGTGACGGCTCCTCTGTCCGCAGAAAGAGAGAGAGAGAGAGAGAGAGAGAGAGAGAGAGAGAACTCGCTGACCCCTTTTATTGAGGAGAAGCTATTCAAATAAGGCAAGGGGTCAGGTTTCAGGGGCTGAGTCTATCTTCATGATGTCCACTGTCAGCAGGTTGACTGACACCTGGGTAGGCCACACCCAAGGGCACAGTAAGAGGAGGGGACACACACAAGGCACTTCCATGGAAGATTCTATCCTAAACAGGGCAAGGGGTTATATTACAAAGGAACAGGTGAGCATAGCTTCACCCATGGGGCTGTAGCAAGACACACCCATTTCTGTGACTGAGCACCTCAGCACCCAGCTGGGGAGTGTAACTCAGTCACCCATAAGGTTGGCCTCCCACACCTGACCTCTGATCTACAGCACAGAGCCTGACATACTCTCTCTGATCTCACGTTTTTTGCTGTTACCTAGGTGCCATTTGCCTTTCTCAACGAAAAATCTGCCTTAGATGTCGCTTGTTGCCCATTTACCAGAGCACTGAAGATGTCCATGGGACCCTACACTTGGAAAAGCTGGAAAGCTTGGGAGGAAAACTGAGCTGGGTACAAAAGGAGACCCAGCTGAGGGAAGCAACAGTTATCTAGCCCAGGACATTGTCTCTGCCCTTCCTGAAGCTGTGTGGCGACGCCTGCAGGTGTGTGCGGCAACTCCTTCTCTGCCAGTCTCTGCTGCCTTGAGGAGCTGTAGCATCAAGCCAACCTTCCACGCCCTGGCACGCACAGACAGTCCATCTTGCTGATGTTTAAAATTTGTTAAAAGTTATTTGAAAAAAAAAGTTCTTTGAACTCTTCTGAGATTCTTGAGAGATTATTATTACTTTTTTTGAAGGTATATTAAAGAAATAAAAGGGTAATTTTTATTGATCCATACCTCAAAAACCAAGCCTGGAGTCCAGGAGGGGAAGAATTTGACAAGATGAGCAAGTGAAGTAGGGTTTTAGAGAACAAAAATCTCACAGAATATAACCGCAATAGAAGGTGTTTGAGTTAATAATAAAAAAAAATGACATCTCGGGGCTGGGCCTGGGCTCAGTGGCAGAGTGCTTGCCTCACATGTGCTAGGCAAGTGCTCTACCGCTGAGCCCCAGCCCCAGCCCCATCCCACAAGTGGTTTTCAAATGAAAGAATAACCAATAATCATGGAGGCCTAATTGAGTGACTCCATTGTATATGTAGCCAGAATTCCCAAAGAGAGTAGGCAAGAGGATAGGCGGAGTGCCAAGGAGACAGTGCCAAAGACACCTTGGCTGCAATAACAGGATTAAAAAGGAAGAGAAATCTCAAAAGAAAGTAGGGAGAAAATGCAGATTGCCTATAAAAGAACGATAATTTGAAAGTTTCTTATCAGTGATGATAGTTAAAATAGAGTAATAGCTTTAAGGTGCCGAGGAAAAATTACAGAAAGCATAGAAGTCTATATTGAGTTGAGGGCAAAAATACGGTTACAGAATAAAAGAAAGACAAAGATCAACAGAACTTATTAACCACAGACTCAATAAAATACTAAAGTATGTCTGTAAGAAGGGACATAATAAGGAAAGCAGAAGGAGAAATGGGGCTGTGAGACAGAAATATGAGCATAATAAGTCTCCGGGATACATAAATTATGACATAGTTATAAATTTGTGTTCAAAAGGGTAAAGCAAAACCTCGACAAATGAGATGGTTAGTTTAAGATATTAAATGAACCCTTTCCATTAGGACTTGTGTTTTGATTGAGAATCCCAATAACAGTGACTTAACCAAATGTAGCTTTGCTTCCTCACCTGAGAACTTTGGAATCTTCTTGCTCTTTCTGTGATGGTCAGGAAATAGTGTCAGCTCCAACCACTATGGTCATGTTCTAGCCAGGAGAATGGGGAAGAAAGGGAAAGTTGGAAAGACCACAGCTAGATGAATCAGCGCTGTCTCACCCTCTCTCTTTTTTTTTCTTTCTTTTTTTTTTTTTTTGTATTCCTGCTTCAAAACATTTAACAGCTGCATTGAGGTACAACTGACATATAATAAAATGCACAGTAAAGCACACAATTTGATGCATTTTGACTGACATCACTGCGGTGAAGAGAATAAACAGATCCATCATCTTAGGAGATTTCTTGAGTACATTTTTGTCAATGAAAATTCACTAAGAAAGAATTTAAGACCAAAAAAAAAAAAGGAGAGACTTCATTTCTACAAGCAGTTTGCAATTGGCACAAGAGGGATCTAAGCGTGTGGCTAGAAGTGCCCAGTCCTGATTGGTCAATACTTAAATGTGTCTGTCAGCAGGTCACACCTCATTGGTCAGATCTGGATAGTGAAAGGGACTTTCTGGGGACTGGTGTACCTTGGCTGTTGAAAGAGGATCATGCCTGGGCAAGGGTTGCGAAGCTCAGTTTGTGGTTCTTCCAGGAACACAGAGTAATGTGTGACCCTAGTCACTAAAAGACTCCCAGTCTCCATTTTGAATTTAGGTCCAATTAATTACTTGATTCTTTTCTTGGAGATTCCGCTTTTCTTAAAGTCCACAATTTGTATCTCTGCCTTCCTTTTATGCTGCACATCTCCATCCCATTTCTGATTTGCTTTCTGTTACCATACGATACATTTCTTAGAATTTTATATCAATAGAATTCAGCATAATTTTTCAGGCTCATCCATGGTGTGGCATGAATTAATAGTTCATTTCTTTTTATTGCATGGATATATACCACTTAGTTTATCCACTCACCCATTGATGGACATGTGGAATTCACAAGGACAAACTGCAACCTACATCCATCTCTCTCCTCCAATATCAATGTTATGGGTAACTTGTTGAAGAAACTGGTGCTCTTTGCCACACCTGGCTGCACCTGGCCCAGGTTCAGTGAAGCTAACGTATGATGAAAGCTTTAGGATCTTTGAGCCAGCTGTTGTCTACATGTGACTGGACTTCCTCATAGTTTCATTTCTGCCCTTGTTACCACCTTGGAAGTACTCTGGCAAAGGATACCAAGAGCCCTCATGGCTAAGGCCAAAGGGCAATGCTCAGTTTAAAAAAAATTTGTTTTTTTTTTAGTTGTAGATGGACACCATACCATATATCCATATAATATATATTATATATATATATATATATATATATTAGTTGTAGATGAACACAATACATTTATTTTATTTATTTATTCTTATGTGGTGCTGAGGATCAAACCCAGTGCCTCACACGTGCCAGGCAAGCGCTCTACCACTGAGCCACAACCCCAGCCCCCAATGCTCAGTTTTGACCTGGAACTTGTTTAAAAAAAAATCTGAGCTGTGTTAAATTTAACAAAGTCCTTTTGAGCAAGAAAAAGGTTCTAGAATCAGGCAGCTAGTTTCAAATGCCCCGTCCCACTACTCCAGGAGGTTATGTAAGTCAGAGAAAAGAAAGTTTCATACAGGAACATCTGATTGGCATAATTTGCCTTATATGGGCATAGTGCAATGAGACACTTGCCTTCTGTGGACACAGCCTGTCATTAGCTGAGACTCATTATCTGTTACAAGAATATACTCAATTTTGTTTGTAGCTTTTTACATACTGTGTTAGCCATATTTGGGCCAAATTTTATCACCCAAGCAGAAACAGACTGATCAGTTTAACATCCTTCACACACTCCTCTCCCAAATTCTGAGCCATTTCAGGCCAGCCAACTCCATCTACTCTTCAAACACATATGCCCTGAGCAGAATGACCTTGGGTGACTCCTTCACTAACCTGATATTAGCTCCCACCTGTGCATTAATGACTTCCCCATCTGCCTCTCCAGCCCAAACTCTTCTCAGAGTTTCCCAGAAGGAGACCTTTGCGTAATAATCTGGAAGCACTTCAAACTCAACATATCCTAAATTGAACCTATTTATTATTTTAATCCTAAAGCTACACCTCCTCCAGTTTCTTCTAACCTAGAATACATCACCCTCTGCCCCCACCACCCCACCACCTCTCAGTCAATTAAACTAGAGCCCCAGGAATCAATTTAGAATTACATTTTATTTCAGCAGGTATTATATTCATATGGTACAAAACCCAAAACAATATAAATAGGCATAGAATAGGAAATCAATTTTGCTCCTGTCTGTATCTCTCTTCCCATTATTTTTAGTAACTACTTTTCTTAGTTTCCTAGTGTGTTAGTCAGCTTTCATTACTGTACCAAGTACCTGTGGTAGTCATGCTATAAGAAAAAAAAGTTTATTTTTGTTGGGAGTCGCCCTGGCTCCAAAGACTAACTTCCCCATCCCCCGAGAAGAGCTGTCCAATAGTGAGCCCTGCTGGCTCACATGATCTTTACCTACCAATAAGACTAGCCCTGCTGGTTCACATGATCCTTACCCACCAATCAGAAAGCACCCCATGCCAACTTTCAAACCGGTTAACCATTAAACTGTCATAACTGTCAAACCACTCCCGCTCTACAAATATGCAGAGCTGTTCCTCAATAATCGGGCATTTTCTCCAACATTGAGCCTTGTTCATTCTTTCAATTTTGAGTCACAATTTTGGAGTGTGTGGTGTAGCAAGTTGTTCACCTCATGGCATTTGGGAAGTAAAGAGAAGAGGAAGTGGCTGGGGTCCCTTCAAGAGCACACCCCCAGACACTGAAAGACTTCTTACCTCTTTTTTGGGGTACTGGGGATTGAATCTGGGGCATTTAACCATGGAGCCACATTTCCAGCCCTGTTTTGTATTTTATTTAGAGAAAGGGTCTTACTGAATTGCTTAGGGCCTTGCTAAATTGCTGAGGCTGTCTTTGAACGTGTGATCCTCCTGCCTCAGGCTCCTGAGTTGCTGGGATTACAGGCATGAGCACCCTACAACCTCTCACCTCTTAAAAGTTCTACAACTTCTCAATAATGCCAAGCAGTGGGCATTATTAATATCTGAGCTTTTGGGGGACACTACCTATCAAAGAATAGTCCTAGGGTGACATAAATAGGATTACCTTATGTATATTTGTCTAAGACAAGAAAATATTTTTTTTCTTTTTTAGTACTGGGGATTGAACCCAGAAACCCTTTAATATTGAACTACATTCCTAGCTCTTTTTATTATTTTAATTTAGGGTCTTGCTAAATTATTGAGGTAGGCCTTGAATTTGTGATCCTCTCACTATAGCCTCTTGAGTCACTGGGATTACAGGCATGTTGAAAACATTGTTGTTTTAATCTTTTATTATTTCTACAGATGTTCATATTACAGTTACTGATACATGTTTTATATGCATTTTTGGTCCCTTGCTTTTGTTTCTTTATATCTTACAGATCTTGGTGCTTCCTTTTTATAGCTATATATTGTGCTGCATTATGTGGATATATCCTAGTTGATTTATCCAGTCCCTTATTGATGGATACATTTGTTGCCACTGTTTCACACTATCAATGATACTGCAGTGAATAAACCTGTACATAAATGTGTATGTGAATCTACAGAATAATTTCCCAGGATATCCTCAAAGAGTAAATACTTTTGTAATTATCTAAACAGGCCTTTCCTCCCACAGTTTTATCAAGAGACTGTGTTAAACTTTTTTTCTTTTTTTAAATTGGATAAGTAAGAAATTGTATCTTAGTAGTGTTTTAATTTGCACTGCTCATATCACCAGCAAAAGTGAGCTTATATTTCATATATTTTTCTTTTTTAAAAAAATATTTATTTATTTATTTTTTAGTTCTTGGCGGACACAACATCTCTGTTTGCATGTGGTGCTGAGGATTGAACCCCGGCCGCACGCATGCCAGGCGAGCCAGCTACCGCTTGAGCCACATCCCCAGCCCCTCATATATTTTTCTTAAACATCTTTTTTTTTCAGTTGTTGATAGACCTTTATTTTATTTATTTATATGTGGTGCTGAGAAACGAACCCAGTGCCTCACACGTGCCAGGCAAGTGTTCTATCACTGAGCCCCAGCCCCAGCTATATTTCATATTTTTAGCAGCCATTTGCATTATTTTCTGTGAGCTCATTTCCCTCCATGGTTGGTGATCTTTTTATTTGTGAAATCTAGGCACTCTTCACCTATTCG